GCATGATTCTAACTAAAATTTGTGCATTTATCGTTGTTGTGTGTACCTATAATTTGTTTATTTGTTGTTTTTTCATTTAAATGCCTCGTGACGCGAAGAAAACAAAACATAAGACAGGAGACGTAATCGTGATAACGACCGCAGCTACAGTGGCGCGTAATAGGCTTAACTCATCATAGTCAGCACCTGACCCTGGACAATCTCAACTATTAGGTTACAAATGCGCCCTAACACTACCCCAAAACAACTTTTCGTTCTCAATTGGCTCTCTATGAATGACCTGTGTTGCCTGTACAGCGAGGCATTTAGAGAAGGAGAAAACCGGCCGGAATGCTTTAGGTTTATCAATAACGAAGATAAACATGGTCTGAGTTACACACCGGTAATTTTTGAGTTGACTCTTTTAAACTCATTGTAAATATGACTGTTATTCGTTTTGAAATAACTCCTGTAATACATTGCAATTGCTCGAATTCGAGCAACATGTAGGTACGCTAGTTTTCATAATAATTGAGATGTAATTTTTTTAAGCTTGCATCTTACTTTACACCGGAAAAATATACAGTTTAGTCATGTTTAAGGAGTTTCTTGAAAAATTTATTTCATTTCAAACTAAAATGTTGATTTTAAAAATTATTTGATCAGCTGATTTGTTTAAATGGCAAAAATGTTCTCTAATTGTAGATGTTAGCCACAGGGTTGCCGAAAAATATTAGCGAATTTCCTATATAGGAGATATTATCAAATTTCCTATATAGGGAATATTAGCAAATTTCCTATACAGGGAATAAGCTATTACCGTAGGTCTCATGGTAAGACCTGGACCCGGAACCGATTTACTTTTTCGTTTTGAGGTCCCCAGAGGCCAAAAACACCATCCGTTCAAATTCATATACAGTAGAACCTCAATTACTTGAACCGTAATATCTTGAATTTCTTCAATATCTCGATTTTTTAAAATCCCCTTGAAATCCACATTGATCATAATGTTAAAAGTACCTTTATAAGTTGAAGTTTCTAAATATTTAACTTCGATAAGTAGTTTTAACAACTTTTGAACAGTAACATTCTACCTCTGTAACTCGAATTTTCCTGTCATTGAGCCTCAGTAACTCGAAGTTTACCTTTATAAGTCGAAGTTTGCACGAATGTGCCTCAATAATTCGAAGTTTTGCCTAACAGTGAAAGTCAGTTGTGTTTTGATTCCTGTCGAGACGTGAAAATCCAACTTCCTGTGTTTGCTTCCTGGGTCTGTTTGGCTAGGTACTGTAACTGTAGTCAGTGTAGTCTGCCAGTTGTTGAGATAGATTTTACGTTTCTTCAGTACGTATAAATACAGTTTGAATCCGATTTATAAAGGTTTAACACGTAAAATTCGAGTTATAAAGGCCGTGACGTAACATCACTGTCAGACCCCAACACCTCAGTATCTCAAACTTTTTCATATGGAACCTTCATAACTCGAACCTCTAACTTGGAAAACTTGATAACTCAAATTTTTATCATAACCCCTTCAAATTCGAGATATTAGGTCCTACTGTATATATATATATGTATACATTATGTGTCCGTTAGCATCATAACTTGAGCAAAAATGATCCGATTTTGATGAAATTTAGTATACACGTGTAAACCTACATTTATTCTAACGAGTTCACGAACCAGTATGGTCGGACTATGGGAACAGGGGTTTATGGGAGGTTTTATGGGGTAAAAATGGGGTTTTCTCATTTTTCACCGTGAAAAACATTCACAATTTCTTTCCAAACAATTTTATAGAGCTCAAAAAACAAATAATTTAGTATATTGAAGACATTTCAATAGGAAATAGATCTGACAATTTTAAGGGAATAATTTAGTGGAATTCCACTCAGGCAGATGGAAATTTCCTTAGTCTGCATGTTTGCTGCAGCGGAGGTATTTTTTTACATAAAAGGATTAAATACCTTCCATCACCTGCAATCCAATCAAATTGCAAACACAACTAGTTTCAGCTCCTATATGGAGTTACAGGTGGCACAAGAATGCGACTCCATCGGGTAAGCTCGGCTTTTACTGATCAGTTACCATAGATGGATAGTGTGAGTAAGTGTAGTAGATTTTATGATTTTTGCTTTACTGTTTGGATTTTAAACCAGAGAACAAGCTTTAGTTTATCATCGGATTTTTGTTGTTGAAGTAGTTTTAAAATAAGACAAATAACTAGAAACAATAGTAAAACTAAATACACCATCTACATGATATCAGACACAAGTAACATAACAGTAGTTTTCAGATAAACAATGAGGATTATAAATATATGTTATGTGTCATTGCTCTTATGTTCAGGAGGGTTCCTTAATGAAGCTGGATGGTTCCATGAGACTGAACTAGTGCTGTCAGCTTGTCTGTGCTTTTATATCACTCCACTGTCAGATATGCCCTCCATGTGGTGCAAGTCTCTAGATTGCTGCCATAAAATTGAGTGTTTCACTGCTCTTATGTTCAGGAGGGTTCCTCAATGAAGCTGGATGGTTCCACGAGACTGAACTAGTGCTGTCAGCTTGTCTGTGCTTTTATATCACTCCACTGTCAGATATGCCCTCCATGTGGTACAAGTCTCTAGATTGCTGCCATAATTGAGTGTTTCACTGCTCTTATGTTCAGGAGGGTTCCTCAATGAAGCTGGATGGTTCCATGAGACTGAACTCGTGCTGTCAGCTTGTCTGTGCTTTTATATCACTCCACTGTCAGATATGCCCTCCATGTGGTGCAAGTCTCTAGATTGCTGCCATAATTGAGTGTTTCACTGCTCTTATGTTCAGGAGGGTTCCTCAATGAAGCTGGATGGTTCCACGAGACTGGACTAGTGCTGTCAGCTTGTCTGTGCTTTTATATCACTCCACTGTCAGATATGCCTTCCATGTGGTACAAGTTTCTAGATTGCTGCCATAATTGAGGGTATTGCTCTTATGTTCAGGAGGGTTCCTCAATGAAGCTGGATGGTTCCATGAGACTGAACTAGTGCTGTCAGCTTGTCTGTGCTTTTATATCACTCCTCTGTCAGATATGCCCTCCATGTGGTACAAGTCTCTAGATTGCTGCCATAATTGAGTGTTTCACTGCTCTTATGTTCAGGAGGGTTCCTCAATGAAGCTGGATGGTTCCATGAGACTGAACTAGTGCTGTCAGCTTGTCTGTGCTTTTATATCACTCCACTGTCAGATATGCCCTCCATGTGGTGCAAGTCTCTAGATTGCTGCCATAATTGAGTGTTTCATTGCTCTTATGTTCAGGAGGGTTCCTCAATGAAGCTGGATGGTTCCATGAGACTGAACTAGTGCTGTCAGCTTGTCTGTGCTTTTATATCACTCCACTGACACGTATGCCCCCCATGTGGTGCAAGTCTCTAGATTGCTGCCATAATTGAGTGTTTCACTGCTCTTATGTTCAGGAGGGTTCCTCAATGAAGCTGGATGGTTCCATGAGACTGAACTAGTGCTGTCAGCTTGTCTGTGCTTTTATATCACTCCACTGTCAGATATGCCCTCCATGTGGTGCAAGTCTCTAGATTGCTGCCATAATTGAGTGTTTCACTGCTCTTATGTTCAGGAGGGTTCCTCAATGAAGCTGGATGGTTCCACGAGACTGGACTAGTGCTGTCAGCTTGTCTGTGCTTTTATATCACTCCACTGTCAGATATGCCTTCCATGTGGTACAAGTTTCTAGATTGCTGCCATAATTGAGGGTATTGCTCTTATGTTCAGGAGGGTTCCTCAATGAAGCTGGATGGTTCCATGAGACTGAACTAGTGCTGTCAGCTTGTCTGTGCTTTTATATCACTCCTCTGTCAGATATGCCCTCCATGTGGTACAAGTCTCTAGATTGCTGCCATAATTGAGTGTTTCACTGCTCTTATGTTCAGGAGGGTTCCTCAATGAAGCTGGATGGTTCCATGAGACTGAACTAGTGCTGTCAGCTTGTCTGTGCTTTTATATCACTCCACTGTCAGATATGCCCTCCATGTGGTGCAAGTCTCTAGATTGCTGCCATAATTGAGTGTTTCATTGCTCTTATGTTCAGGAGGGTTCCTCAATGAAGCTGGATGGTTCCATGAGACTGAACTAGTGCTGTCAGCTTGTCTGTGCTTTTATATCACTCCACTGACACGTATGCCCCCCATGTGGTGCAAGTCTCTAGATTGCTGCCATAATTGAGTGTTTCACTGCTCTTATGTTCAGGAGGGTTCCTCAATGAAGCTGGATGGTTCCATGAGACTGAACTAGTGCTGCCAGCTTGTCTGTGCTTTTATATCACTCCACTGTCAGATATGCCCTCCATGTGGTACAAGTCTCTAGATTGCTGCCATAATTGAGTGTTTCATTGCTCTTATGTTCAGGAGGGTTCCTCAATGAAGCTGGATGGTTCCATGAGACTGAACTAGTGCTGTCAGCTTGTCTGTGCTTTTATATCACTCCACTGACACGTATGCCCCCCATGTGGTGCAAGTCTCTAGATTGCTGCCATAATTGAGTGTTTCACTGCTCTTATGTTCAGGAGGGTTCCTTAATGAAGATGGATGGTTCCATGAGACTGAACTAGTGCTGTCAGCTTGTCTGTGCTTTTATATCACTCCACTGTCAGATATGCCCTCCATGTGGTACAAGTCTCTAGATTGCTGCTATAATTGAGTGTTTCACTGCTCTTATGTTCAGGAGGGTTCCTCAATGAAGCTGGATGGTTCCACGAGACTGGACTAGTGCTGTCAGCTTGTCTGCGCTTTTATATCACTCCACTGTCAGATATGCCCTCCATGTGGTACAAGTCTCTAGATTGCTGCCATAATTGAGTGTTTCACTGCTCTTATGTTCAGGAGGGTTCCTCAATGAAGCTGGGTGGTTCCATGAGAGTGAACAAGTGCTGTCAGCTTGTCTGTGCTTGTGTAACACACTGCCAGATCAGCCCTCCATGTCTCTAGAGTGCTGCCATAATTGAGTGTTTCACTACTCTTATGTTTACAGGAGGGTTCCTCAATGAAGCTGGGTGGTTCCATGAGAGTGAACAAGTGCTGTCAGCTTGTCTGTGCTTGTGTAACACACTGCCAGATCAGCCCTCCATGTGGCGCAAGTCTCTAGAGTGCTGCCATAAGTGAGTGTTCCTTTGCCCTTTTTTAGTCCCTAATCTTTTTAGACTATTAATTCAAGGCTTGTCCCTTAATAAAAGTCTCCAATGTGTTTCATTGCGGCCAATCGAGCCAGTTAAAACAAGCGTCATAATCTTTCCTTCACCGACCACAATTCTATACTCCTCGCCACCTTAACTTGAGGCAGCCCAAACTGACCTGATGGGGCATTACCGGCTAGTCCTGCAAGGCCCTTTTTACAATCCTAGCAGCGATGCTTCCGTGAACACCCTAGTTCAATATTAACATTAATAAAATAATAATATTATTTCCACGAGGTTTTGGATTTGTTAAAAAATTTGATTGGAAATTGTGGATTTTTGTAAACTACATTTAATGTAAACATAATATCAGTAGAGACAATGGTGACAGCTAGAAAAAATAATCTTTATCCAATCAGCTATTTGTTATTTCATAGATGATGTATTCTCTAAACAGATGATTAGTATTTCATAAATGAAGTATCCAGTAAACATTGGAGAAAACTTAACAAAAACTGCCAAAATTCTTCTTTTTTCTATTATTTTATTTCTAAAGTAGTGAGGCCATATTAAAATATGGCTAAAGACACTCTCATCCATCCAGCAAAAACTATTTGGATCAAGAACGGTGCTCTATATTTCTTGCAGTGGGCCGCGTAAATTGGAATTTTGGCGTTACAGACACAATGACAGACAGACAGACAAACAAGCAGACACAAATTGAGATAAAACTCGTTTTGGCTTTCTTATGGTAGAAAAAGTAGAAATAACCAAAAACCTCATGGTTCTCTGCTATGTACCAACAAAACTGTTATTTTATTGATATAGATATAAAATCTTATATCAACTATTGTGTTCTGCTCATGTTTCGCCAATCGATGTATAAATCGATGGTTTCGCCACGGGGTAAGAATCTTTGCGTCTATAAATCTACCGTAAAAAATGAGTTACACATACTTATACTTATACAGACAAAAAGCAGTCGTACTTATTGCTTATTTTAAGGTAAAACTTTTGTGTATTGCCATGAAACTGTGAGGTAGAATCAAAAGTAATAACTAAATCGTAATGCAAACATCTATAATGAGAGTAAAAAGATTAATGTAAAAGCTGATATAAATTTTATATTTTAATTTTTTATTATTAAAGTTCTTTAATTAAGGTTCCTGTGCTAAGGGAGATTATTGAAAAAATGATATTTTACTTACCACATCAAGACATTTCATTCAAGCATGCAGTTGATAGGTGTGCGGCTTACGATTTTCTCAAAACTTCATAATCCTTATTAGCTTAAATCCATATAAATCCCAAAGTAGCCATGAACTTTTGACAAAACTACAAGTCACACCCCCATAAACCATATACTTAAAATGTTCGTCATGACGAGAAACCTTGCGCAAAACTATCCATTATTTCTAAATTGCCCTTTATGGTCTTAGTTCCTTTATAAAGGGAACTTTTCATATACCTAATGTTAAAATACCTCAGCTGTACTTATAAGTTTGTTATTTTTTTCAATTTATTAAAATCAGATGTGATTATTTGTTTGTATTACTGTATTCTGTTTTGTTTATTTTAGCTTAACTTAACCAATCGATAGTTTTAATTTGACTTATGAAGTCAAATGGGTTGAAGCCCATGGGTAACAGCTAGTATATATACTATTCCAAAAACATTATGACAAGTGGGTGTTCCCGAAAATATATTTTTTCTGGCGGCAACGAGTTTCTAAAATTAAAATTTATGTTTGTAAATCATCAAGTTATTAATTCCCTAATTTCAATAATTTGTATAACTTGTAATTTATTTTTGTACTTTTACTTTATTTTTATATAATTACTAGCTGTACCCGTGGGCTTTGCCCCGTTTAACTTCATAAGTATTCGCATGGCTCATTCACGTCCTGGTTGAAGTTCGTTCGCTACGCTCACTCATCTTTATGTTGGAGCTCGTTCGCTGCGCTCACTTGCCTTCAGGTTAGCTCGTTCGCTACGCTAACTCGCCTCAAGGTTGAAGTTCGTTCGCTACGCTCACTCACCTTTTGGTTGGAAATTAGCTGTTGTCATAAATAAAAAAAAAAATAATAGTACTGCACCCTGTTTGTAATCCTTGTAACTTTTATGCTTTTGAACATCATAGAACAGAACCAACTTGTTTAATGGAAACAGCTGTTAAGATTTATTAATTCCTTTGAAATATGAAAAATCATAAGGTTAACATGGGGAACTACAGGGCCACTGGGGCGGAGCCCGAAAGGATTTTTGAGATAAGAATATGCTTTAATGTTAATCGGGAATGTGAGCTATCATCATGCCAAATTTCAACCCAATCCGTCCAGTAGTTTATGCGTGATTTAGCAACACACACACACACAAACTCACAAACTTTCAGATTTATAATATTAGTAAGATGTCTGTGTCCGTGTCGAAATTTACACCCTTTGTATCATGGTAGCCATAATAAGGCTGTTATAATAACGATGACAAAAATAACAAACGAAAATCCATGAATATTAAGATCATAAATAGTAGGATTAAGATCATAAATGTTAACAAATCATGCCACTGGTTGAAAGTAAACATGTTTTTATTGATACTTAAATTGTTTTAGCTTAGTTTTGAAGCATTTTATACTTTTTCTAGCAATCAAGCTACAGTATTATTATCTACGACTTAGTCTTCATTTCTATTTAATCATCCCCGCATTTTATTCCATTTATTGACTTTAAATCTAATTGTCAAAATTGTTAGTTCGCTACAATTATAATGCCGGTTTGGTAAAATGTGTAAACAATTGTTAAACTACAAACAAATCATTGGTGTTTGCAAGTATTCAGTAAAGACCCGTATGTGTGTGTTTAGATGTGTACAGAGGCTACAGACTACTCCTCTGGTCCGATTTTGATGAAATTTTGTATCAGGTACTAATCCATGGCATCTCCAGGTGTTTTTTTTTTCATTTTTTAGAAATTTTGATATTTAATTTTGATATTTCCATAAAACCCATAAAATAACGGAAAAATTGACTTTCTCAAAAATGGCCTGAACGATTTTGATAAAAACTTAGTATATTGTAGCCCTTTAAAATTCTGAACAAAATGGTATGACTCCCATTTCTGTAAAAATTACGGTTAAAAAGTTATTGTAAATAATTTTTTCCTAATAAAAAACCCATAAAAATAAGAGAATAGTATTTTCTCCAAAAAGGTGGTTTTGATTGAAATTAGTATGTGATCCTTATAATAATTCTTAACAACATAGTGATACCCCCCCCCCCCATTCCTGTAAATTACGGTTAAAAAAGTAATGCAACTTTTGTGATTTTAACTATTAAATATCATAGTTACTCTCATCGCTTACCCATATGATAAAGGTTGTTGACAAGCTAATGGAAGAAAGTATGTGTCAGATTGCTGATACCGTTTATTTATTAAAAAAAGACATAATTGTGTGAGGCAGTCACAGAATGCGCTAGTGTCTAAAATTCTATTTTGTTCCTTAAATTTTGTTGCTGACATAGTTGATGGGTCATAATTAGAGATGGGCCGATTCCTGAATTGGTCGATTCCGATACCGATTCCGATTCTACAACTTTGGTTTTGATTCTCGATTCCGCACTCGATACCGATACCTCCTCACTACCGATACCTCATTTAATTCGAAATGATGGGTCACAATACCCCCTTCATATTTAAAATAATTTATCACATTTCAAAATGGCGGATCCAAGATGGCGGTCGAAAAAATACATCAGTCATAACCAAGTGAAAATAGGTTGACAATTACTGGTAGTGTATACTTATCTTTATCTAGCACTATTTTGAGGTTATGGACTTAGTTTGTAAATGCACAATGTTAAAATGGGCTAAAAATAAAGTTTTAAAAAGCCCTCATAACTTTAAAATGGATCAAGATTTTTAAAAACGGTTTGCGGCATTGTAATCAGGGTAAAAATGTAGTTCGAAATAATGGGTCACAACCCCACCTTTACATTCGAAAAAAAAATTTACATCCAATATGGCGGATCCAAGATGGCGGCCGGAAATGACCACCTTGTCAAAATGAAGTACTTACTACCCAACAATGTTTGGAAGTGGTCTGGGATTGATATTTGAAAAAATGTAGAAAAAAGTTGGGGGGGGGACAATTAAAACTCACCCTGTATATTAAATGCTTGTACCATCTGGCAACATTGCCTTTGATCTGACAACATGGCGGCAACTAGAGTTCTGTTAATTGACATTGACACTGTTGTCATGTCAACTGAACACAGCTCGTTATACCATACCGTCATTGCTACTCGTGAAATGCAAAGGCAATCTATTTTGTATTATAAAACTATTATGAATGTGAGATAATGAACTTGGAATCCTTATATATAATACGTGAAGGCGATTTCTACAAAACGCTACTCCTCCGATAATAATGAACGGATTTGTACAAACTACGTGTCAAAATAAAGAATTTTTTGTGTAGACCCCCCCTTTCACCAATTCATGTAATAAAAGTCCTCGGGCTTTGTCCCACAGGCGATCAATGTTGGAGTTTCTCCCATAAGATTAACATGGGGGAATATTAATATTTAATTGGAAACTTTGTCCCTTCTAATTTGAGAGAACGGCTGGGCGTAGAAACTTGGTAGAGGTGTCCAAAGAAAGGTTTTGGTCTGTAGATGAGTTATCAAAAGAAAAACTAAGCAAAATCCCTTAGGACTCTGCCCCAGAAGCCTTTAAAGATCCCTCCACAGAGTTGTTTACATTTTGGCCATGTGAATAATACTTTTTAATGAAACAGCTGTTCATTTTTACTTTCTCCCCCTATACCATAGTATATGGAGAAAGTATTGTTTTCGTCAAAATTTTCGAGTTTGAGTTTTGAGTGGATATATTCGTTTTGAGTCCCCCTGGACCCAAAAAAGTGGTTTTCGAAGTGATGTCTGTGTGTGTGTGTGTGTGTGTGTGTGTGTCTGTGTGTCTGGATGTGTAC